AAGGTTGGTTGGATCTTTGAGTTTTCCATAAACTCCAGATGAGTAAGGATTTCATTATATCTTACATAGATTATGAAAGTATTCTTTTGTAGTTGGCCACAGTAATCTGTTCAGAAAAATGTCAAATTGGGGCAGCTAGGTGGCAAAGTGGATAGAACACCAGCCCTGGAGTCAGGAGGACCTGAGTTCAAATCCAGCCTCAGGGGGCAGCAAGGTGGCGCAGTGAATGGAGCACCAGCCCTGAAGTCAGGAGGACCTGAGTTCAAATCCGGCCTCAGACCAAACACTTGACATTTACTAGCTGTGTGACCCTGGGCAAATCACTTAACCCCAGTTGCCTAAAAAAAAAGAAAAAAAAACAAATCCAGCCTCAGACACTTGACACTTATTAGCTGTGTGACCCTGGGCAAGTCACTTAAACCCCATTGCCTAGCCAAAAGAGAAAAATATCAAATGGCCTTGGGACTGTTGTGACCCCTTCCAAGTTTGCAGTAATGGTGGAGGAGTGGTTGAAAGTTCTTCTGGAAGACTAAGATAAACTGTTTTTAACCATCTGTAAACATTAACTTAATTGTTAGTTCTCTGTGTGTGTGAGCCTTGTTCACCAACTGATGTGATGTGTTACTGGAGGAACTGAAGTATATCAATATTGACAGTCTCTCTGTTAATGAAACCCAGGGATGGGGTGCAGTTAAAGTAGAAGGAGCTGGAGAGTGAGTGGTGGGGGCCTGTTTCTAGACTCTGTTATTTCTGTTCTCTTTATGACCAGGGGCCAGTCCCATTGTCTTTCTGGATTTCAAGTTCTCTAAAATGAAGGCATTGGATTATGTCTTCTCTAAGTTCAGTGAGCAAGTATTTATTAAACATTTATTATATGCCAGGAGCTTTGATAAGCCCTCACAGTACACAGATAGGCAGAAACACAGACCCTGACCTCAAGGATCGTATTCTAATGGGAGAGACAGCATGCAGATAACAGTGTACATGCAAGATATAAACAGGGCAAATGGAAGATAGTCTCAGAGGGAAATTGCTAGCAGTATGTATATAGAAGTGGGGGGAAGGGGATAAGCATTTATTTTTCATCTGAGTGCTAAGTGCTTTTTGCAGATATTAATTTATTTGGCCCTCAAAACAAACCTATGAGGTGTAGGTACTATTATTATCCACATTTTATATTTGAGGAAACTGAGACAAATATTAAATTTGTCACACACCTAGTAATCTTGAAGGAAGGTGGAGATGAGAAGGGAGGACATGCCAGGCATGACCATTAGGTAGTGAAAAGGCATTGAATTGAGTGATGGAGTGTCTAGAGCAAGGAACAGCAAATAAACCAGATTAGATAGATTATAAAACGCGTGGAGTGAGTTAAGTGTAAAAAGACTGGAAAGGTAGGGAAGATACTAGGTTGTGAGGAGCTTTACATGCCAAACTTCTTTATATTTGCTCTTAGAGGTAATAGGGAGCCAGTGGAATTTATTAAGAAGGAAGTAACAGGGGCAGCTAGGTGGCAAAGTGGGTAAAGCACCTCCTGAAGTCAGGATGACCTGAGTGTTCAAATTCAGCCTCAGACCAAACAGTTGACACTTCTAGCTGTGTGACTCTGGACAAGTCATTTAACCCCAATTGCCTTTAAAAAAAAAAAAAGGAGGAGGAGAGAGTAACATAGATCGGCACTTCAGGAAAACTGCTTTGGCAGCTGAGTGGAAGATGTTGAAATGAGGAGAGACTTGAGGTAAGGAGACCAACCAGAAGGCTTTATTTTTTAAAATAATTTAGGCATTCGATGTTGTGGTACCAGAGTGTCATCTCTATGAGTGGAGAAAAGGAGATGAATGTATAAAGAGAGATATCATTTCTAGTAACACTTAATGACAGATTACATATATGGGGTGAGTCAGTGAGGAGTTAAGGATGACACTGAGGTGAGCCTGAGTGACTGGGAGGATGGTGGTCCTTCAAGAAAGGGGAGGAAAAGAAGGGTTTATGGGGGAGAGATAATGAGTTCTGTTTTGGACATGTTGAGTTCGAGATATTTATGGGAATTTGAGATGTCCAAGTGGCAACTGTTGATGTGGGTCTAGAGCTCTGGAGAGGATTAAGGCTGGATATGTTGACCTGTAAATCATTTTCAGAGAGTTGATAATTGAACTGTAGTTGATGAGATCACCAAGAAAGACCATATAGAGATAATATAGAAGCAAGATGCTAGATAGAACCTTGGGAGACACTCACAGTTAATGGCTGTGGTGTGATCAAGATGCAGCAGAAGAGACTGAGAGGAAGAAGTGAAGTAGGTGGGAGGAGAACCAAGAGATATCAATCTTAGGAAAACCCTAAGAGAAGAGAGTCAGTGTCAGATGCTGAAGAGAAGTCAAGGAGGGTGAAGACTAAGAAACGGACATTGTCTTGATAGAGGTGGTCACTGAAGATGTGGGAGCGAATGTGAAGAGGGTATATATACATAAAGAGAAGAGAACGCCAGACAGAATCTTTGGGATCTGTTTTAGGGGCTCCAGAGGAGAAGAGTGAAGCAGAGAAGTGGTTGAAAGAGGTTGAAAGAACCAGGAAAATGTGTTATCAGAAAATAAGGGAAGAGACTGTATCTGGAAGTATTAAACATCAGTAGTGTTAAATGCTGGAGAGAGGTCAAGGAAGATGAAAAAAAAATATGATTAAGAAATAAGGAGGTAATTGTTAACCTTTGAGAAAAGCCAATTTCATTAGAATCATGGAGAGGAAAACCAGATTGCAAAGTGTTACTTAGTCCTAAAGGAAGAGGTTACAAGGGGTTGAAGAAATCTAATTAGTATATTGTGAGGAATTTGAGACACTGAGATTTTAAAGAAGTGTATCAGGGAATGGCAGGAAAAAGGACAGTAACTGGATGGAGTAGAAGGGTTGAAGAGAAAGTGCTTTTTAGAATTGGAGAGGTTGAGAGTTTGTTTATAGGAAGATGAGAATGAACCAGTGAAGAGGGGGTGCTTAGAGATACTTGAGGCAAGTGGGATGATTTCCTTGAACGAGGTCCTGACTGAGGAAATAGAATGTAGGGCACAGCAGATTGGTTTTTAGCTGAGACAAGAAATAAGGAGAAGACAATTGGGAATGAAGCTGAAATGTTTTCCTCCCTACTTCATGGTATTTTATTTTTTCCAATTACATGTAAAGATAGTTTTCAACATTCATGTTTATAAGATTTTGAGTTCCAATTTTTTTTCTCCCTCTCCTCTCCCCAAGACAGCATGCAATCTGATATAGGCTATATATGTACAATCATATTAAACATTTCCATATTAGTCATGTTGTGAAAGAAGAATCAGAACAAAAGGGAAAAACCAAGAGAAAGAAACAAAAAAGCGAGAGAAAATAGTATGGTTTGATGTGTATTCAGACTGTATAGTTCTTTCTCTGGTTATGGATAGCATTTTCCATTGGGAGTCTTTTAGAATTGTCTTAGATCATTGTATTGCTAAGAGCTAAGTCTGTTGAAGTTGGTCATCGCACGGTGTTGCTGTTTTTGTGTACAGTGTTCTCCTGCTTCTGCTCACTTCACTCAGCATCAGCTCGTGTAAGTCTGAAAGGTTTTGTTTAAGGAAGGAAGTTGAGAAGTTCTTGTCAGACAACCTCAGTCTTCTTTGTGAAGTAAGAGTCAATATTATCTGTTGTGGGAATAGGGTTGGGGACTTGAGGAAAGAGGATAAGATTTTGTAGTAATTACTTTGCAAAATAAAATGGGGAGTCAATAAGAGTAGAGAAAGATTGCCAGGTAGCACCGAGGGCATACCAAAAGTTTTGTTATAATAAATTTACACTACTTGAAATGGATTAAATTTTGTGACTTTATCCAATGATGCTCAGCAGCCTGGGAGGCTCCAGGAGTGAAGAAATTGGGTAGTAGAGGTTACCTAGAATTGAGGATTAGTGATAAGGGTGGAAGGGGCACAGTTTGTAGCATGGAAGCTGTTAAAGTGATATGAAGTATATATACTGTTTTCCAGGTCCACTGATGGTAGTTCCAATCCTAATTTGTTTTTCTTTAGATGTGTACCCTTGATCGTACTTTTAATGAGTACAGCTCTTTAGCAGCTATAAGCACAAAACTTGACATCCTGCAAGCTTTTAGTTGATGCATTTCTTTCTCCTCCCTTTTCCTCTCCTATTTTTGGCTGTAGGTATGACAAGTAATAAATATATATATGTATATATATATACATATATATATATACATATATATATATATATATATATATATATATATATATATATATATATATACATATATATATGTGTATATATATATACATATATATATATGTATATATATATATATATATATGCTCTGTAACATGTCTTGGGTATCTAGCTTCTTGTTCATTTAAAATTGTGTAACAGTTGTTGACTTATTCTGTATTGAATATTGTACCAAGTTGATTTATTAGAATTTTGTGAATTATAGCTTAATTATTTAGTGATCGCTCTCCAAAGAGGTTAACATATTGGGAAATCATTTAATATCTTCAGAACAGTCTGTAACAAGATAGGGCAAGCTAGCATTATTTTGTTGATGAGAATAAGGCATTGATAAGAATAAGAAAATTATATTCTCAACACCGCAAAGGACATTAGCAGTGATACTGGTTTCTTGATCTCAAGTGAGATACTCCATTCTTTAATTTTCTTGAAATTTGAAATTTACCAAATGAGTTACTCAGGGATGGGCTTGTTTTTATTGATGCAGAATCTAAACTGTTGAAGATATATACTGTATATCTATATATACAGTATATATACTATGTAGTAAAACTTCAGCTATTCAGAACCCATAGATCAGTATTTTAGATAGCTGATTTTTCTGGGTGCAGCAAAACTTCTCTCTAGTAATTTACCAAGAAAAGTACCTTTGCAGCCTATGGGTATTATTGTAGCCTGAATAGGTAAAAGATTCTGTGAAATAAAGTTTTTCCTTAATTGGAAGGGACATTTTTTTTCCCTAGGGAAAAAGATCTTGGAGAAGCTTTGGAAACTGGAGGTTGTGATCTTGAAACTTTGAGGAATATAATTCAAGGGAGGCCACTGCCTGCTGATTTGAGGGCAAAAGTTTGGAAGGTAAGTTGGAATGAAAATATAATTTAAAAACAAGCGTCTAAAGGATGTTTCATTTTCATTACTGTGGACTTTATATTCATTAAATGTTTGAATATTCTTTATTATGGACGTTGTAGTTGTTCTCAAAGTACCATTTCTGTGAAATTTGTGAAGGAAAGAAATGTGTATATTGAAATAGCTTTCCCAATAATGATTAATACAGGTGGTAATAAAAATCAGACTCTCAGGTGCTAAGTTTTGGGGTTGATAACAAGCAAGTAATCTTAAAAGATGCCCAAGTAATAGAGTCCACTTCACAAGGCACAATAATTCCTAGGGCATGAATGAAGGTATATGTTATTTGGTAAAATATAAATCTACCAATTCTTGGGTTTTAAAATATGGATCTATTTCTCTGATATTCAGACCTTTCAGTTTGAAAATATAGTGTATTTTCTAAGTATGACAAATAATATCTAAAATTGTTGGATTTGATTTTTTTTTCTCTTCCAGATTGCTTTAAATGTTGCAGGGAAAGGTGACAGTTTGGCATCTTGGGATGGTAATTTGGATCTGCTGGAACAGACTACAATTCACAAGGATTGCCAAGAACTCATTGGTCAGTGTGAGAATTTTTTTCAAGCTGTCCATATAAAATCTTGAAATTATTAAAAATATTGCTAGAGACCTGACCCTTAGGAGGTCTCTGGTTACAATTTGATAGTTGTTCAAAGTTGCAAATAACCCTTTTTTGAATAGAGATTGTAGGTGAAAAAAATTGCAACAAGTTACAGAATCTTTAATGATTTTGGGGAGAGAAAAAACATACTATTTGCCTTTTACACTGCATGCTCAGTTCTTCGTGTTTCTGTACCCACAAATTTTACTGTCTCCTGTTTTTGTTACAATTTAAGCTGTGTTTTGATCACCTATACAAGAAGTCTCCAATTTACAAGTAAGTTGTATACTAAAACACTTAGATTACTATTATTGTATGTGTTCCTATAGCAACAATGTTATAACTGATGATTAGTTTGCCTCTTCTAAAAGCCTATTTTGACTTCAGTGTGGCTGGTAATGACGTCAGTTTTGCTTTGCCCCTGAGATGACCTACCTGCCATCACTTCGTTTTGGGCATCTTCTTTTTGTTCTTCCTCCCTTAATACTTCAGTTACATCACACATGAAATAGGCTGTTGTTGGCTCACATGGAAGTCTGATTCCACAGATAACGTGGTGTATTTGGGGAAGGGCGTCATGTAGCTAGCAGGGAATATGGTGGCCCTGAATGTACAAATCTTTGCCTCAGCCCTGATGGCATATTTCTGGTGCGAGACCAGATTTGTGATCCTTGAACAAATCATTTAACCTCTGTAGGCCTCAATTTCACTTATTGTAAAATGAGGGGGTTTTTATATGATCTCAAACATCCCTTCCCTTTGTAGATTCTCGGGGCCCATGTTTCTGAGAAAGAGCTAAGCTAAGACATTATTGTCTTTCACAGTTTAATGGGTGAAGTGATATTGTAGAGTTTTTTAAATTTACATTTTTATCATTAGTTATTTGGAGAACTTTTTCCTTTAGTTTGTTAGGTTACATGTCTTCTTTTCAACACTTTTTATTTGTGTCCTTTGGCCAGTTGTCATTGTTTCTTAGTATTATTAAGTTATATCACTTCTATGTATATCTTAGGTGTCAGATTTTTATCAGATGAATGGTACAACATTTTTCCCCCAGTCAACAAATCTTTTCTTCTCCTGTTTTTTTTTTAATGGAAAAAAATCTTTCAAATTTTGTATAATAAAAATTATGTTTCATCTTTTTAAAAAAAATATGCTCTATTCCGTTTTTGGTTTAAGAATACTCTCCCTAGAGCAAGGAATAGTTTACGCATCAGATCTGTGGAGAACAGAAGAATTCATGACCAAACAGGAGGTAGAGAACATTATGAAAAGCAAAATGGATAATTTTGATTACATTAAATTGAAAGGTTTTTGCACAAACAAAGCCAATGCAACTAAAATTAGAAGGAAGGTGGAAAATTGGGAAAGAATTTTTACAACCAGTCTCTGATAAGGGCCTCATTTCTAAAATATATAGAGAATTAAGACAAATTTATAAGAATACAAGCCATTTCCCAATTGATAAATGGTCAAAGGATATGAACAGACAGTTCTCAGATGAAGAAATTAAAGCCATTTATAGTAATATGAAAAAATGCTCTAAATCATTATTGATTAGAGAAATACAAATCAAAACAATCTTGAGGTACCACATCACATCTATCAGATTGGCCAACATGACAAAACAGGAAAATGGTAAATGTTGAAGAAGATGTGGGAACATTGGAACACTAATGCATTGTTGGTAGAGTCGTGAAATGATCCAACTATTTTGGAGAACAATTTGGAACTATGCCCAAAGGGCTACAAAAAAGTGCATACCCTTTAATCCAGCAATAGCACTTCTAGGGCTATATCCCAAAGAGATCATGCAAATGGGAAAAGGACCCACATGTACAAAAATATTCATAGCAGCTCTTTTTGTGGTGGCAAAGAATTGGAAATTGAGAGGATGCGCATCAATTGGGGAACGGCTGAGAAATTGTGGTATATGAATGTAATGGAATACTATCGTGCTATAAGAACGAAATAATGAACAGGCTGACTTCAGAAAAACCTGGAAAGACTTGTATGGTCTGATACTGGGTGAAGTGAGCAGAACCAAGAGAACATTGTACACAATAATAGCCACATTGTGTGATGACTAATATTGATAAACTTAACCCTTCCCAGCAATACAAGGATCCAAGACATCTCCAGAGGCCTCGTGATGGAAAATGCTGTCCACATCCAAAGAAAGAACTGTGGAAGTTGAATTGCTATCTTTTTTTTTTCTCTTCTGTTGAGTTTTGTTTCCTCTGATGGTTCCTCCTATTGGTTTTAATTTTTACTTACAACATGACTAACGTGAAAATATGTTTAATAGGAATGTGAATGTATAACTTATATCAGATTGTGCGCCGTGTTAGGGAGCCGTGGTGGGGAGGAAAGGGGAGAAAAATTTTAAACTCAAAAGCATATGGAAGTGATTGTTGATAGATCAAAATAAATTAATTAAATAAATTTTAAAAAAAGAAAGTATAATGCCAAAAAAAAACCCTCTCCCTAAAAAATAAAAAAGAATACCCCCCAGCTCTAGTCATAAAGAGGACCTCCATCTATCCATCTCTAACTTTTTTTCATGATATTGTCTATTATAATTATGGTGCTTATCCATTTGGAACTTACAGTGTTATGTGGCATAAAATGCTGGTCAAAACCTATTTTCTACCTAAGTTCTTTTCATTTTTCCCAGCAGTTCTTATCGAATTAGGGGTCCTCCTATTATTTTATGTTCTTTATTTTGTCAAGCGGTGGGCTACTTTGTTGATTTACCTAGAAGTTTTGTTTATCCAGTCTGTGTCACTTGCTTGCTTATCTGTTATTTAACTATTACGGAGTAGTTTTGGTACCTTTGACTTTATAATGCTAACTTACTAATTGTTTTGACATTTATTTTCTAGACCAGCTTTCAGTGCCAGAAGAAAAGACTGATGTATTACTCTTGAATGTTGAATCTGTATTACATTTTATTGCAAGTCACGGAATGTCAAATACAGCACATCCCTTGGCTGGATTCATTTGCTTAAGCCCCTGGTGAATCTTCATCTTACACGCAGCGATTTATACAACTGCTTTTATGCTATCATGAATAAGTACATTCCCAGGTAAAAAAATGTGTGCATTTTTCTTAACTAAACAAAAAAATTATTATCCATCACTTAAAGAAAAACAGTTTTCCAACTCTGAATTATTTCACAGATTTTTGGAATGTTAGCTAAAAGTTTAAAATTCTAGTACTGCTTTGCCATAAACTTACATGTTTCCCTTAGAATGTTGTAAGATAAAAGTGTAAGCATTTAGGCTTTTAAAAGAATTCTTTTGGTCAGCAGCTATATCCGATTTCATGTGAAGTTACAGACTGTTTATTTTTTAATGATGAAAACTTTGTTTGCCGGAACTGGCATTGTTTAATCAAAATGGACAGGTTTTTCAAATGTAAATGCCATATTTATTTCACAGATAAAAACCTGAAATTCTCATGGCAGAAATGAAAATAATACTTAATTGCATATGCTGCAAATGCCTAAATGTAAGCACAGGTGTTTGAAGGTATTAAAGGTATTTTTTCCCCCCAACTAAGGACCTTTTTTTTTTGTGTGAGGCAATTGGGGTTAAGTGACTTGCCCAGAGTCACACAGTGTTATGTGTCTGAGGCCACATTTGAACTCAGGTCCTCCTGAATTCTGGGGGCAGTGCTCTATCCACTGCACCACTTAGTTGTCCCAGGACCTCTTCTTTTATCTTAATAGCTTTAGTAGCACTGCTGCAGTCATCACTGTTTTTGCTTCCCTAAAGTGTGACGACTAGGAACATTCTGAGCTGAAGCATTTCTTAGATTGATTTTTTTTGCATCTTCATATTATGGAGATTACTTTTAAATATTTCTACTTGAGGAATATTTTCTGAATATTTTCTGTATTGACATATGTATTTCACTAAATTTTTGCATGGAAACCTTTTTTTATTTGCTTTACAGTTGGCTTTATAGAGCAGTCTCCATGCCTGCAAAAGTACTACTTATTTAAATATTGAAATATGCTATCTTTTGTTTATGAAAATGCCTCAGAGCACCTAGGGTGGGACAGTGGATAGGGCACTGACCTTGGAGTCAAGAGGATCTGAGTTCAAATGTGGCCTCAGACACTTGACACTTACTGACTGGCTGTGTGGCCTTGGGCAAGTCACTTACCCCATTGCCTAGCCCGCCCCCCCCAAAAGGAAGAAGAAAATGCCTCTATTTACCTAGTCAGTAGGATACGTGCTTTTAACTTGTTCCATTAGTGATAGATACTTGCAGATCCAACTATATGCATTTTTATTTAGGCCCCTGGACAGTTGGCTAGAATTATCATTGTTCTCGAGTACTATGTGATGGAGTAAAGTTGCTGGCCTATATGGAAATTGACTCTGGCTTCTTTAGTAACATGCCAATCAGTTAAACTGGGAAGAGATTACTTAATTTATAGTGGTGATTTTTAATGTGGCAAAGTATTTATTTTATCGCAACCTGTTTGAGGATTTTACACTACTATGCGTTTGTTAATTTTTGCCAGTTAATGAAATGAGGTACTGTGTTGGTATACGATGGGTTATTATAAATACAGTGATGCTTTCTAAAAAATTCTTATAGAAGAATTTATTAATATTTGGAAAGGGTTTATCTTTTTAACTAAGTACACCTGGATACAGAGAGATTTGGGGGAGATTCTGTTCTTCTGATTTTGGGTTTGTGACAGTAACTGAAATGGTGCTAGTGGCCTAGCACAGGGTCTAGCACGTGGTAAGGGCTTAATAAATATTTGATGACTTGACATATTTATGGATCTGTGGATAGTTACAGTCCTTTGAGAGGGAGGAATTATGCCCTGAATAGGCCAGAAGGGCTTGAATGCTGTAGTTTGCCTAACTTGGTGAGAGGAAATATGGAAGGAACTTATATCCATAATGAAATTTGACAGCAAATGAGACATTTCAGTGAATCTTCTTTATTAATAGAAGAAATAATAATAAAGATATCTTGAATTTATGCAATGCTTTTTACTTTAAGCAGTACTTTTATGTCTGTCATCTCATTTATTTTTGCAATGTCCTCTAAAGTAGGTGTGGTTAGTATTTCTATCTCTCTTTCACATCAAGGAGATTCCAGAATTCTTGAGTTATGCATTGGTCTATCATGGAGCAAAAAAGTACTGGTCTTGGTTTTAGCATATTCTACTTTTGATGTGGTCTCTGCCTGATACTACCTGATCTACCTCTAAACAGTGCTGGCCAATTTCAGAGCTTCCCAGGCTGCTGGTCCCACTTAGAAACCAAGTTATAACAGAGAAAGCTTACGGTATACATACTGCTTTATGACCATCAGATTTATAGATCTATTGTGTGAGCCTTGAAGACTGAGGACACTTGCTTAAGTGAATGGATAAGAATAATCCTAACTGTCTCCCTTTCTACTTATGCTGAGGAACTGCCAAACCAGCATCTTTCAGATTCTCCACTCCTCCCTGCAACTCTCCAAGCTAATTTGAACACAAGAGGTCCTATTACCTCCTACCCCAGATACCTCTAGGTTAAAACTTATTCAGACCCAGCAGAAATCCCTCTCGCAATGAGTGGCTTACTATAGATCTGAGACTTCCTTAGTCTTGATACTTGGCCCCAGAGCCAGAGTCAACCTTCTGTTTCTGGATATATTATCACACTTGATAATGCTAGTTTTTCATACTCATATCTTGGAACTTTTCACTTCTTATAAGATTTTAGCTCCCTTGAGTTATAAGAAGGCAGCAGGAAAGGGTCACTGTTTTAATAACTCATGCAATATCAGCGCAGTGCATTTAATGAAAACCTTGCCTCTCTTGCTTTCTAGGGATTGTTTTCTGAAGGGGAGACCATTTCATCTCTTTCGATTGCTTATCCAGTATCATGAACCTGAACTGTGTTCCTTTCTTGATACAAAGAAGATGACTCCAGACTCCTATGCACTCAACTGGGTAATAAAGTGAAAGTAGGGACACTTAATGAAAAATAGATTTATCTATAAATTTATAATATAATTATTTAAGGAAGAAAAGTATTAAATTACAGAACAGTGCTACTTATACTAATGGATTAGAATTATTGGTGTTCCAAAGTAACTTTTGTTACTCTTTACTTTTTCCAGAATATTTTGGTATGAAGTTTAACGTATCTGTTATTTGTAAATGGGATTTATTAAAAGATTTTTCAGTGTCTAACTAAGTAGTTGATGCCATGTATGAAAACATTTGAGGTCAATATTTCATCTATTAGGAAACTGACTTCAGGGACTTCAAGTAGTTAAATACCTCTACTTCTCTTTGTCTTCAGTCGCTTTATATTTAATCATCTTTTTCAGAGATTTTGAATATGAGGTTTGTTTTTCCGAGTTAACTCTTAAAATGCACAATTGAGATTCTCAACAATTGAGATTTTCATGCTTCAGTCCCCTAAATTAAAACAATAGTTGGACATTGAAAGAATGCTTTAATGAAGCAGACCTGTTTCCCTTACTTTTCTTTAGAGACTCCTATTTGTTAATATCTTTATATTAGCAAGAATTTAGCATTCATTAGCATCCTGATCTTGAAGACTTGTGTGTTGTTGTGACATTTCTGTAGTGTGTATATATGTGTACCCATACAAATATGTGTGCGCATATATATAATATATATATATTTTTTTTTTCTCTCTTAAAATCTTATTCATAATGACCTGTCTCTATATGTGTCATACTGTAGTTGGATTTTTTTTACATGTGTGCAGGACCAGGTTAGGCCCACAATTGAGTGATGAAAGTACATCAATGTTTTTGGCATTTCTGATGACTTTCTCTAGTGCTTTCTTAATTTTAATGACATAAAATAAATGTGTAAATATTAACTAGTATTGATCTTAGAAATGTTAAACTAAATATTCTGTTTGGTTTTCCACTTACCATCTTGCTTTAAAATGAAAACATTCAAAATAAAAGAGTAATAGCTTTTTTGAAGTTTATTTTTTTAATCATTTGATTGAGTATTTATCATAATAAGCCAAATAGGGAAATGCTAAGCAATATAACTCTAGCCATTCTCAAACTATTTCCACTTTTAAAAAAAAAGGTGAACTGAACCTTTTGAACTGTCTTAATATATTATTAGATTATCCTGTTTGCATAATGAACACTTTTTACCACAAGAATGGTAGCTTTTTGACATGGTAACAGGAAAATTCAGTCCTCTTACGTTTAGTGCTCATTAGTAGAGCACTTGTTAAATTTAAATTTGATAGCTTAGTATTGAGGGTAAAATAATGACAAGAACAAGGTCTGTGCGGGCTGGGTTTGAAAACAGCAAACTTCTGCTGTATTTTCATTCCCATTTTCCTCTGACAAAAAAAGCTACCTAGAAAGGCATCGACTAAAAAGCTACCTAGAAAGGCAGTGACTACACCTCTTTAATCTCTATTTGTAATAGTACTTTTAAAAAAGAAAACTTCTAAAAAGAATTAAGTACTACTAGAAAACATATTTTAATTTTTAAAAAATGTTTAAAATTAAACAGATAAGGTTTGGGGGGGTAGGGAATAGACTTTTCATTAAAAATTGAGAATTCTTAAGTTATCACTGAAGTGATACCACCAGAGCTCAGTATAACTCTAAAAAACAAAACTTTATAAGTTAGTGTATTTTTGTGTTCCGTTTAAATGTGTAAAAATTAATAGAAAAAGATTTACTCTGATTCAGCCTGTGAAGTTTTTTTAGAATGGATAAGTATGTAAACATAAGTGGTCGTGCTATTCATTTTACAATGATGCTATCAGATTTAACTTTTTGGCATAATTTTTATACTCTCTGAAGATCAACTGTTATTTCTAAAACTCTTTTTACTATATTCACTAAATATTAAGTGTGTGATTTTATTCCATGTGATTTATACATTTCTTACTGGCATCTTAATTACTCTTTCAGAACCAATTTTAAGTTTCTACTTCTAGTTATTTCTAATACTTTGCTTCTCTTGCTATATTTCCTGATTACAGCTTGGAAGCCTTTTTGCATGTTTCTGTTCAATTGAAGTGACTCAGGCAATATGGGATGGATACCTACAGCAAGCAGATCCATTCTTTATTTATTTTTTAATGTTAATAATCCTTGTCAATGCAAAGTGAGTATAAAATTGGCTACATTTTTCATTTTCTTTTTCCCTGATCACCAATTTGTTTAACTTTAACTGGTAATTTGTATCCCTTTTCTCGGTTACAGAGATGTTATTTTAGCACAAGAATCTGACAATAAAGAAGAAATTATTCGTAAGTATAATTTTATATAGGAAAAAAAATGCTGGCCATTTCATTTCCTTATTTTTCTAACCGGTAAAATTCGAGATTTGGACTAGGGTGGTATCTGAGTACCCTTCCAATACCAGCATTCATTGATTCCATGAACAGAATCCCAAATTACTGTTTTTTTTTTAAAACAAAGCCTTCCCATGTTGTAAACTGATCCACTGTTCTGGAGAGCAATTTGAAACGAAGCCAAAGGGCTATAAAACTGTGCATATTCTTTGACCCAGTAGTACCACTACTAAGTTTGTATTCCCAAGAGATCAAAGAAAAAGGAAAAGGATGTATACGTACAAAAATATTTATAGCTGCTTTTTTTGTGGAGGCAAAGAACTGGAAATTGAGGGAAAACCTATTACTTGGGGAATGGCTGAACAAGTTTTGGTATGTGATTGAGATACTATTGTTCTATAAGAAATGAGGGTGGTTTCAGAAAAATCCTGGGAAGACTTATATGAACTGATGCAAAATGAAGTAAGCAGAACCAGGAGAACATTGTACACAATTACAGCAATATTGTACAATGATCAACTGTGAATGACTAAACTGTTCTCAGCAATACAGTGATTCAAGAGGATTCTGAAGGACTTAGGATGAAAAATGTTATGTAACTCCACAGAAAGAACTGATAGAGTCTGAGTGCAAATCAAAGCATACTTTTTTTTAAACTTTTTTATTTTCCTTGTTCTTTTTTTGTCTGTTTTCTTTTGCAAATGTGGAGATATGTTTTGCATGACTGTACATATATAATCTATAGCAAATTGTTTGCCTTTTCAAGTAGGGGATTGAGAGGGACAGAAGGAGAGAATTTGGAACTCAGAATTTTTTAAAAATGAATGTTAAAAATTATTTTTACATGTAATTGAGAAGAAAAGGAAAGCCTTTCCCTACAGATCATGAAACCATGAAATATAGTAGGTATGATATTTAAAGATTAATAGACCCAAGTACCTAAAGCATTATTAAATAACCAAAGATTACTTTCTTTATTATGAGTATCACCTCTTCAGTGAAATTCAGCATGCCTCCCAAATGGGCAGTTGATCGAAAAAGTAATTCATGTAATTAATATTAATACTATTTTCACAATATTAAGTATTATAAACTCCCTAAAACATTTCTACTTGAAGAGAGCTTGCACCAGTCAAAGTTTTATTCTTTAATGCACAGTTTTAAAATGGTGTTGTATTCTTGGTCTTCATATATTTTAGAGTTCTTGGAAAATACTCCATCGAGTTTGAATATAGAAGATATTGAAGATCTGTTTTCTCTGGCACAATATTATTACAGTAAAACTCCAGCTTCATTTAGAAAGGTATTAAGCAAGAGGTTAATGAATACATACTACATTTCATTGTGCAAATTGCTTCATTTTGTCTTTTATTTCCTTTAGTTCTCATAATGCCCCAGTTTCTTTTTCTTGCCCTTTTTGAATTTTCTAAGTTATGTGATTGTGTGTGTGTGTGTGTGTGTGTGTGTGTGTGTGTGTGTGTGTGTGTGTGTGTGTGTGTATTCCTGGGTGGAAGAACAAAGAAAAAGACAGGAGGTAGACAAGTACCAGTAATCCATCATCACTTTGCTCTGCCAGACTTTGCTTTTGAACGCTGCAGTTATTTCAGATTGTGAGGAAATCACTTGGTGATAACTTCACAAACTATTGCCTACTTGATTTAAAAAAATGTGTGTTGAACGAGAGAAAAAAATAACTTATTCAAAGGTCAGCTTTTTGGCAGCCTTAGCTGACCAGAACATAGTTATTAATCTACAGGTAGGTTTAAGAGAAAAAGGTTTTTTAGCAGCATAACTATTACAAACTGAGGGAGCTTAGTGTGGGAGGTGAAACCTAGAACTCTTGGGACAAAGTCAGAGCTTAGAATTGTGTGTGAAATAGAATTTTTATAATCTTGAGATAGCAGATTAAAAGTAGCAAATATGTTATGTGTCTGTTTGAAGCTGAAACACTGAAAAATAGTAGATAACAGTGAGGCAGTAGAGAGCAGAAGTGACACTCATTACCTGCTAAGGGTTCTCAGGAATCCTTAAAGAAGGACCTCAGTGGGTTAGAGCAGTGGTGTCAATAGCCCTGGCGAGGCCTATTGATTAAATGAACAATATCTATGTTGTATTACATTTTTTTGTTAAACATTTCTCTCTTTTTTTGTTTTTTGTGTTTTCTTCTTTTGGCTAGGCAGTGGGGTTAGGTGACTTGCCCAGGGTCACACAGCTAGTAAGTGTTATGTGTCTGAGGCCGGAATTGAACTCAGGTCCTTCTGAATCCAGGGCCAGTGCTCTATCCACTGCGCCACCTAGCTGCCCCATTAAACATTTCTCAATTACATTTTAATATGGTTCTAGTGAGGACTGCGAGTTTGACATCTCCATGTCAAAGCACAGCACAGTGACTGACATTCATAATGATGGCCTGGAGTTCTCAAGAAATGGTTAAGTCATTGTCACCTTTAAGAAAGCAGAGAAATATATAGTACATCTTAGCAATATAGTAAGTCGTACCTAGGCGATTTTATCCCAAAGGTTGCAACCAGGTGCAGTTTCTTTGAGAGGGAAAGTATATTCATATTCATTTTCTAAAATAAATCAGTGCTACTGTATCAGTGCCAGCGCTGCTGCTTTTATGTGAAGAACTCATTATCTTTATGATTTTAAAAGCAACTGTGAAATAAAAATTTTATCACCTAAAAACATTAAAATAGTTGATATAAAAGTGCATTTGAAGGATATTTTTAATCTGAAAAACAAAAAACAAACTTATTATGAAATACCTTGTTCCTTAAGTATGCTTGATGATTGTTTTGGGTTATGGAGAATTTTATGGAAGATTATTTCCTTTTTCTCTCCACAACCTAATGTCACCTTCCACCCTTCAGAATAGTTCATTAAATACTTTAGGTCAAGAGTACTTAATCTTTTTTGTGTTGTGGATCCCTTTGACAGCCTGGAGAAGCCTATGTACCTGTTCTCAGAATGATATATTTAAGTAAGTGAAATAAAATACATAGGATCACAAAGGAAATCAATAATATTGAAATGAAATTAAAAAACAAGTTACCACACCCCAAGGCAAGAACTTCTGCTTTAGATTAATGTCATATTTATGAGTTAGAATACAGTATCATTATATTAGTTATTTTATATAACTAATTTATACTTCTTTTTGGTTTTCCAAAACCTGTAAGGAATATAAAGCAGTCATTTCACTATTTTATTTTTGGTGATAGTAGAAGTAAAAATTTAAGTTTTATCTGTTTTAAAGAATTTTGAATTCTAACTTGCTTGAAGGGCTATGGTGTTTTAGTTTTTCTTCAGGAAGAACATAAGGGAAAAGAGGTATGTAACACTATCTCTTTGCATCTGTTTTTTGGATTGTGAGGTATTTGTAGGCAGAACAGCTTTGATTTTATCATTACCAGGCAAACCAGTTGAACTCCATGTCTTACATAGTATGCTGTTTGTTTAGGCTTTCTAGTTGTGAGCACTGTGTGGTTGTGAGGTATAAGCTTTGTATATTCTTGTTGATTTGTGCATTGAGGCTACATAAAATGAGTTTTAAAAACCATACTGAACACAATTTATCAAGTCTTGATTTTGGTTTATTCAGAAGTCTCTAGGAAAGGGACAAAGCTCTGACTTTGATTTTTCTTTCTAATTAAAAAATACTTCTCTCTTACCAATCAGGACAATCATAGTTTATTTGGCAGTCCTTTGCTGGGAATTAAGGATGACGACACAGATCTGAGTCAGGCTCTCTGTCTGGCCATTTCAGTATCAGAGATTCTTCAAGCAAATCAACAGCAAGGGGTCAGTAAATAAGAGAAATACATTCCCCCCCCCAAAAAAAATGACCCTTTTAAATGTAAGGAATTTTGTCCACTAACTTTCTTCAAAAGCTTAATATTGTAGATCAAAGATTAAATATGATATTTAGTGTTAATTTGTGATCCAGGGTTCAGCTAATTTTATACTGTAGTTTAAGACTATATGTGCTAAGAAGGGAAAATTGTGAGAAAACTATTCCCTAGTTCTTAACTTGTTCTCATCAGTGTGAAAACTCCAGAAAGCAGCCCTTGTCAGTCATGTTTTTCAAATATAAGCACTGTGTTGCCGTGTTAGAAGCTCTTTCAGGGAATCAGAAAAAGATGTTGGGGAGGGGAATGGAAAACTGCTATGCTACGATGTTCCTTCCTTCCCCCAGAGGATTTTAGGATCATAGGTTTAGGACTGGAAGGGACCTTAGAGACCATCTAGTCCAACCCCCTCATTTTACAGATGAGGAAACTAAGGCCCAGAAAGGTCAAGTGACTTGTCCAAGGTTACACAGGTAGTAAATGGCAGAGCCAAGATTCGAACCCTGGTCCTCTGACTCCAAATCCAGCTCTCATTCCACTGCACCACGCTGCCTCTTAATACCACGACTGGTAGTTTGGGATTAAAGTGAGTACCAGTATCTGATTTTTTCTCTTGTAAGAAATGAAGACATAAAGTCCAGATTAAATAATTCATTACAGAAACTTCATTTTAAATTGTCAATTCAGAAGATTTCTTTCCACATTTGGGAAATAAATTTATGTTCTGCTTAATGTCTAGTGTGCTGTAGGCAATTATTGCCTTATCTTTAAAGCTTTTAAATTATAAAAGACATTTTTGTTGTTATCATAAGACATTTTTATTGTTAAATCTTAGAATTGTTTGGAATATCTCAAGTATTTCCTTGGTTAAATCTATTGTATTCATAATACTCAATTCAGTTTTTTTATTAGCACATCATATCAGTTCATCTTGCTTTGATCAGTTGCAAATGTTCACTGAATATGAGCCTCTCACAATGGAAATATTTAGTTTTGAAAATTCTAACATTTCAGATGTTGTTTTCCTCGTAGGAAGGAGTTCGATTCTTTGTGGTGGATTGCAGGCCTGCGGAACAGTACAATGCCGGGCATTTATCAACAGCTTTTCACTTAGATTCAGATTTGGTTAGTATAAGCTCTGATTAAAATAAACAAAGTAAGGAACAATACTCTTTTTTCCCTTATAGTCCATAAGTAAGGACATATTGTTAATGACTATGTGGTCTCATTATTTTTTAATTCTTGCTGCATTGCTAGAAATGCAGCATAAGTTCTGTCGTTAAGTACTACCACATTATTTCAACTAAAAGGGATTACATATTCTTAGGGGAAGCTTCATGTAATTGATTAAGAAATTCTGAAAGTGTTAGTTTTAAACTATCTAAGTATGAGTACTCATTTCAAATAGTAACTGAGAAATATTTAATTACAAATTACAATTGGTTGGCTGTTAGCACACATTCAGAAAGTACAAATATGATACTTTTTAGTTGGGCTATCTTTGACTATTATCTGAAATCCTACAGTAGTCAATTCTGTATTTTCTAAAAAATGTTTTGCTTTTGTTATGTAGTAGCTATTATGCCTGCCTTTACATGTTCATAATATCCTTCCATATGCTGCCATTCACCTTCATGCCTTTCATTGACGTGTATCAATCTGTATCAGAACTGATTAAGAGATTGGATTTCTTAAATTAAATGAAGGCTTTTACTTTCCTTTTCCTGCTGGCTTTTTAAATGCTAAAATTGTGTGATAGTAAAATAGATCTAAATTTTTTGAAAGAAGTACGAAAAATCAGCTTTGCCAGATTTATCTTTTTTTTCCCCTTCAGATGCTTCAGAATCCATCAGAATTTGCACAGTCAGTAAAGTATTTGCTAGAAGCCCAGAAGCAGTCTATTGAGTCTGGTTCAGTTGCGGGAGGGGAGCACCTCTGTTTCATGGGAAGTGGCAGGGAAGAAGAAGACATGTATATGAACATGGTCCTTGCACACTTTTTACAGGTATGTTTGTGTAAATGACTGTAGCTGAGCAAGTGTTTTCTCTTGACCATTGATTTAAAATAGAAAATTAATGCTGTAAAAAAAAAAATAAGCTGGCCTGTTAGCCATTTTCTGCTTATGATAGATAAAGAAAAATTTGGAGTATTTCCATTATAGTATTGCCATAATGAAATTTGTTATATATTTTTGAGATTTGACACTTTTTCTTTATATTTAAATGTTGTAGTAGGTCTCTTTTTTGTATCAGCAAGATGAGGAGTTGGACCAGATGATCTCTAAGGTCCCTTCCATCTCTAAATCTTGCATTTAATTGTGCTACTTTGGAAGCAGGCTAGTTTTGTTTTTGCTTTCTGTCTTCGTGTGTTCATGGTGCTTAATAAATTGTGGGTTGAAATTAATCAAATGACCTATGAGTTTTGTGGCATGGTTTGTGCTCCTTTCTGTGCTCCCCAAAAATTGTCCTCATCATTTATTTAGCTGGAAAATTTGACTTCATAAGCACCAAAAGAAATTTTGATAACTAGAACTTTGACATCAGCATTTGTATGGTTTTGAATTAGGGAGGTAAGAGGTATAATGCTGCATAAGCCATCTCATTTTTTTCATTTCATGTTCAATTCCTGGTATTAATTAGAAGACTTTTTTAATTTAAGAAAAACGCTTAAGTACCTAGTCTGTCCTATCTATCAATCAATAAACATTTAAGGGCTTATAATAAACATTATTAAGTGCCTCCAGACACTCTGCAAAGCTGGGAATACAAAAAGAGGCCTGTGACAATACCTGCCCTCAAGGAATTTACAATCTAATTCAGTAGATAACAGGAAAACAAATCCAGATAAAACAAACCTTATACTGTCACACAGTCCCCACCCAGAAGTAGCTCTCCTTCTAACTGGATTTAGACAAATAAGTATGACATTAGGTAGAATGTGATAAGAACAAATAAGAGAGCCAAAGTGTTAGAAGAAAAATTTAGGAAGAAAGGGTACCTTTCTACTGAGGCTCTCAAGGATAGAATTCTTCATGAAAGCACCTGAGCTGGGCCTTGAAGAAAAAGAGATTTTGACAAATGGAGATGTGAAGAGAATGCATTCCAGATTTAGGGAATGGTCTTGTGAATATGTGGACAAAGTACAAAAGCAACTAGTGATCTCATTCGATTTAAATGTAATGTGTGTGGAGTAGAGTACTGTGAAATAATCGCAGAAAGGTTGTGTGGAAGCAGAATGTGGAGGGTCCAAATATAAGACTGAAATGTTTGTATTTTTTCCTGTAGACTATAGAGCAGCCCTGAGGGTTCTTGAGTAAAAGAGTACATTGTGAAGATCAAGTTGTTTTCTGCGTGCAGGATGTAATGGAGAGGGGACATCTGGTAGCAGTGAGATAAGTCAGGGGGCTATCTACAGGAGTCCAAGTGAGAGTTGAGAAGGGCCTGAACTATATGGTGCCATTGTTAGTGGCAAGGAGAGGACAGATATGAGTCATTTTACAAGGTTGAATTCAGTAAGACTTGGCACCTCAGTAGATGTGGGGATTGAGAGGAGAGGGAGGAGTCAAGGAAAACTCTGAAGCTCCAAGCTTAAGTTGCTGGGAAGTTGTAGTGCCAGTGAGAGAAATGATGAAATTGGTAATGAGGGCAAATCAGTTTTGGACGTGGTGAATGTGACACATTGCTAGAATAGCTTGATGGAGTTATGTAGCAGGTAGGTAGAAATAAAGACCAGAGCTCAAAGAGAGATATATGTTTTTAAATTGTCATTGAAATCATGATAATGTGTGAGAGCCAAGGGAAAGGGTATAGAGATAAGAGAAGAAGGCCAAGGACCATGGAAAAGAGAAGACAGTGTTAGGGAGGCCAAGGCAGAAGAGAATGTAAAACAGAGAGAGAAGAGATAACCATTGTCTTATATGTCAGAATTGTCAAAAGGATTGAGAACTGAGAAAACAAATGGAATTGGTAGTGGGGAAAGAAACTATTTCTAGTGTATATATGGGAAACTACTACACACACACACACAACACACACACACACACACACACACACACACACACCGTCAAGCATAAACAGGTACATCTGGATGAACTCAACATCTGCTGGAAACCACATTCCATTTTGTGCTCTGTGGAGGATATATTCCATGAGAGTTGCAAACCCCTTTGGCGTGCGTGTGTGTGTGTGTGTGTGTGTGTGTGAGTGAGACTGTGAGAATGTGAGTGTGTTTTGTTATTCAGTTGTTTCACTCGTGTCCGACTTTTCCGTGACCCCATTTGGGATTTTCTTGGCAAAGATACTAGAGTGGTTTGCCATTTCCTTCTCCAGCTCATTTTATAGATGAGGAAACTGAGCCCAGGGTCACACAGCTAATCTAGTAAGTAAGTGTCTGAGACCAGATTTGAACTCAGGAAGATGAGTCTTCCTGACCCCAAGCCTGACACACTGTGTGCCACCTAGCTCTGTGTGTGTGTGTGTGTGTGTGTGTGTCCCCTCCATGATAGTTGCAAGCCACTTTGGCAAATGTGTGTGTATGTGTATGTATGTATATATGGTTGATGTTGTGTTTATTACATCAAAATCCATAGTTAGTTACTTTTCAGTGAGGTCAGTGACCTTTCTAAAGTTATTGGACTGACAACATTACAGAGAAAAGCTAAATGGATGAAGAATTCTATTATTCAGACTATGACGTGCATTTTGAAGAATAATCCATTGAATTTATTCTGTCATGTTGAATAGTCACTGCAGAATTGACAGTAAGTTTGGTTGAGAATTAAATAAGAGGAAGAAAAAGCAGACTAAATTGCATTTGGGAAATTGTGCAGTATTTTCAGTGATTCCTGACCTTCAGATTCCTCATTTTATCAGCTTTATTCTATCATTGATTACAATTTTAAAAAAAATCTTTTAAAGATCTAGTGGAAGTCTTTCAGCTTGCAGGTAGATCCTCTCAGGAGAGTATGAGTGGACATATAGAAGAGCATCTCAGAATGTGGTTCATGAAGGCATTGCTCTGGAGAGGGGAAGTAGCTACATTACTGAGGTCTCAGATTCACAGAAATGTAAAAATGATTAAAGGACAGAATGAGAAAATGACTGAAGCATTGTATGGAAAAGGTTAGATGACAGAATTCATACTTGAAAAAATGTGCACTGGATGGAGCAAGATGCATGTAGTGACTAAGATGAAGGCCCCAAGCCGTCTTCCTTATATTTATTCTCCTTTTCAGGAGTTGACTCCTATTCAACAAATCTGGTATTAGTCATACTTCAGTAATGAGAAAAATTTGGGGAGATTAAATAATTTTACATGATGTGGGTTCATACTATGGCCTTCAGAAGAATTTTGAAAGGTTTTTTAAAAACACTGAGGAACGATTTCATTTTGGTTGTTTCTGTTCTCCCTTTTGGTTCTGTGGTATATTTTAAATCATAGCCTTTATTTGAACTGTTTAACCATTTGGAAGTTAACAGTTTTCAGTGGGGGGAAAAAGAACGAACTCAAAAGACAGATTTCCAAGCCTTTGTGCAAAAGTTGTGAATATCAAGAAGAAAACTGGCAGTTTAATGTATAACACTATGAATCTTATTTTTAGATTCTTTTTAAAAAGGGAACAACAAAAATGCTGGATACATGTTTCTAGAAATGTAAGTTGTAAATAGCATCATTAGCATTTTGAATATTAGGAAACTTAAAAATAATTTAATATTTTTTCCCATGACAGAAAAACAAAGAATATGTCAGCATTGCCAGCGGAGGATTTATGGGTAAGTTTAAAATTTCATTTCTTTACGTCTGGCATATGTGAAGGAAGGATACCTGAGGTGATAGAAGAAGTAATATTGGATGGAGAGTTTCATTAATCACTGAGGGTTTATTAAATGCTTAATATTTTTGCAGATACTGCCAAGTGCTGGGGATAGAAAGACAATAGTGAAACAGTCCCTGCTTTCAAGGAGTTTTTGTTGTTGTTGTTCAATCATGTCTGGCTCTTCATGACCCCATTTGGGATTTTCTTTGCAAAGATACTGGGAGTGGTTTGTCATTTCCTTCTCTACCTCATTTTATAGGTGATGAAACTGAGGCAGACAGGGTTAAGTGACTTACTCAGGGCCACATAGCTAAGCTAGTAAGAGTGGGAGGCCAGATTTGAACTCATGAAGATGAATCTTCCTGATTCCAAGCACTGTGCTTCATGCTAATGCAGGGCACAGATATATGGGTATATACCTGACACATACAAGCAGACACTAGTTTTTGTCATTTGTCATTTTATCATTTATAAACAAGATATGGAACAGTAGGAAAAAGTAACACACTAAATTTGGTAAACAGCTATAATTAATTGACCTTATTTGTGTTGTAAAGTTCTCTCAGTTATCTGTGTGTAGATTATGAGCTACATATGTCTATTGTCTATAGCTATGTTTTAATCTCAGACTGGTTTCCACCTGCCATTAGTGGTTTTCTCAGCTGGCTTCTTGTCCCCGTCAGTTGTGTATCCTAGGAATGCAAATTAATTCATGATTAGATTAATGTAGACACAATTGGGGAGGTAGCTCTCCTGCAGAAAACCATATTATGTCTTCTAAACTAAAAATAATTGTGTTTGTATATGTATGTATACATGTGTATATATATGTATATATACATATACATATACATGCACTTTTTAATAGTATCTACTAGATCTCTTCTTCTCCTTCCTTAGTGTATATAAAACCCAGTTACTGGCACTTATAAGCCTTGTTTATTAATAATTATAAACATGCATTAATAAATACTTTTTTAACATTCACATTTTTCTATACATGGTATGTCAGATGCTTTCCACTAAGATTTAATTACATATTTGGTTAATAGAGAAGAGGAAGTATAGGCCTCAGAAATCATAGTCTGCTTTCTCCTGAGAGGTAGAGAGCTTTTACCTCTTTATATCCTTGTCATCTGAGAAACAAAGGAGAAAATTTTGATAGAAAATTGATGGAAAAAATTAGTCTTTTTTTTTTTAAACCTTAGGAACAAAAACCCTGTTCTTGAGCTACTGCTTTTAAGCCCCAGTCCTGTACTTTTAGGTCTTCCTGGTATAATCAGAACATCCTGAACTTGGAATTTGGAAATCTAGATTCCAGTCTCAGTGTTCTTTTCACTGTATGTTACCTTGGGTGATTCAATTTCCTTAACCTCTGTAGTTCTCAGTCAGTTGAGGGGTTGGATTAAATGATGTTTTTAAGATTTTTTCCAATTCTAAACTATTAATCTATAAATTCTTATCTGGTGAGCAACCATTCAGGTGCGTTCATATCACTAAGCTGATAACTTGGTTCGCCAGATTCTAGAATAATTGACCAGAGTTATGCAGTGTATATAGTTATCATTTTGAAAATTCATGAAATTTTAATATAACACTTAAAAGTCAAAAAGGAGTTGGCATGTTGTATGTATCTTGCAAGTAGGAGGAGGAGGAGGATTATAAAAAATACAGATCTGTAAACCCTAATCAGTTATGACAACCAATTTGTGTGGATCCTGAAGAGAGCAGAGTATTAGGTTGCTGCCGTAGATTCCTTATCAAGAATAAATCCTGATACACTGAAGTTCATTTTTTTAGCGATTGGCTTGGTAGGTTGACAGAAAATAGTGAATCTGATCTCCTTTGATATTAGCAATGTTTATTATTTTCTATTGCACAGTATATTCAGTGATAAGCTAGTGAACAACTTATACTTAGAGAGTGAGCAGTGTGGTGGTTATAAGTGTTGTGTAGACTTGGATCCAGTGTTTATTTTCATCATTAATTTGTATGACTAAACAGAGGGGATGTTCATTAAAATTGTTGTCCTTTATATTTTGAACATTTGAAAATTGTGCTCCTACAGAATGGAGCTAAGGTTTTGCAAAATTACTTTTCCTACCAATCATTGCTTTTACTGGGGATTAATATCTCTTTTTAAAAAATAATTAACTTTGAAAGTTGCTAAATTGTTATAGGAAAGGCTGGCTTGACTTCCTTATGCAAAGAAAAGCAGCAGTAGTTCTCCCATGAATTCTTTATGTTATGTTGTAAAATAATTTATTTGAGATTACCTATGGGCAGCTCATAAGAACCAAAAAGGGAAAATGTAGAGCTCACCAGAATCATGTTAAAATCACTGTGATGCATGTTTGGCACATGGACAAGTTAATGGGAAGAGGAGGCTTTCTTTAAATTATGGCGTTTTACTGTGGGCCATACTATTTTACTATTTTCTACAAAGAGAGGATCATATGTATATAAGGAACCAATTTTGTAGCCTATTTACTTAGTTATTAATAGCTGTGTCTAAAAGGGTTGATACTTTAGTTTTTATTTCTTGTTTTTCCACAAGCACTCCAGCAGCACTTAGCAGACATAAATGTGGATGGACCAGAAAACGGATATGGCCACTGGATTGCTAGCACCTCAGGCTCCAGGAGTAGTATAAATTCCTCAGTTGATGTAAGTGTCTATATACAGATTGCTTTCCCAAAGCAAGAAAAATGTCTAGAAAAGAGGACTAAGTATTAACAAATTGATTAAGTAGTTTCATTATGTTTATATTGAATCATGATCATTTAATCATATGGTAATTCGTTTTTAATAGAAATCTTATTTTGTACAGGCATATTCTATTTTATTCATTACCTTGAATAGAAGAAAATTTTCAGAAGTTTGATTTAAGTGTGTCTTCCTTTTCCTAAAAAATCCATTAGGCCTGAGTCATTATTTTTTAATATAATTATAGTCTTCTTCAAGACCTAAGGTCGTAATGCATGATTATCCCTCAAAGTAGAACTATAAACAGGATACCAGTTAATTAAATTGCCAGTAGTTCCTTTTTCCCTAGTTTAGTCTTTAACCATTTTATCAAGAAACCATTTAGTATTTGTCTGATGCCCCCTTACGTCAAATGAGAACTTTGGTGAGTTTATTTATAATACAGTGATTTAGTTATTAAAGAATCCCCTTTAGTAACCCATTTTATATAAATAACCTGTTTCCAATAAACCACTAGATTGGGAAGAAGAGGCTGATTCACCTCATTCAAATGCTTTGCAGTTTTCTCCTGTAAATACTCAGTATCTTTTGGGAGCTGAGTAGCTTTTCTCTCCACCTACTTTTCCAACTCACAACCCTTTTCGGCATCCCTGACTCCTAATTTGAGAAATAGTGATTAAAGACCTATTGGAAAGCCTCTAACCTTTTGCTCTTAACAACTGTCTAAAAATAAAAGGATACAGTTAGGAAGAGAATGCATTATATACACTAAAAAGAAAATTTTTACTAAAGCCACTTCAACCAAAACATTTGCAAACAAGAAAGTTAAAAGACTTGAGTCTGGTAAGGAGATTGTTTTCAGTGTTAATTTGATTGAGTTTGGGGTTTAGATGTAGAAGCAGACATTTTCATTATATCCATGTTTTTATTTAGTTCCTAAATAAAATGCTTAAAGAAGCAAGAACAAATATGGTAGAAACATGTAAAAGAAAAATGAATTAGCCATGTTAGTAGTAATCTTACTACCTTTTTATTCTGTAGGTTAGGCAGACCAGAATTCAGTAAGCTTAAACAATTTCTCATTGGGGGAAGAGTAGATTTTGACTAAGGCATTTATACCTGCTTTTCCATCTTCTGCTCTTAAAAAGTTCATATCCACATATCTTTGTCATGAGTTTGCTCGCTTTTATGTTTTAGGAGACAGTTAATCCTTAGATCAATTCTTTTCTTACAGGGCGATTCTCCTAATGGTTCAAATGATGGGCGAGGAATGAAATCATTGGTAAACAAAATGACTGTCGCTTTAAAGACAAAATCTGTGAATGTCAAGGAAAAAGTTATCAGTTTTATTGAGAATACATCAACTCCTGTAGACAGGTGAGGTTTGTTTGTTTTTTTTTAAATAGAATTTGGGGTTAAGAGAGAAGTATGGTGCAGTACAAAGTGTCTTGGATAACACACTTAAACCTATCTAGGCCTCAGCTCATCTGTAAAATGAGAGAGTTAGATTGGATTACCTCTCAACCCCTTCCAGATTTATATCTATAAGACCTATAATCTCTGATTGGTACATAGATATACCTCAGTCAATGAAGGTACTCCAGAAAAGTTGTGTAAATACATTTTTATTGAGTGATCCTATTCTACCAAGTTCTACATGTTGTGTTTATTTGATGGAGTAAATTTTGGCTCAAAGTTCATCCCCTCTTTGGCAACAAAAAGAGGAATTGTGCATGGGATACCCACTCTACGACACAGTAAAGAACTGAAGATAACTAGAAAAACCTTACATATTAAAATCTTTTAAAACTTGAAAATGAGGTAGCTAGATGGTATACCTTTTATTCATTAAAATAATAGCACCTGCTACAATAGGTACGTATCACTACATGTAATAGATTGTTTTCCAGTGTCTTATAGGCAGCAGAGTCTTGGATTTTGGGGAAATGCCTTTGCCAACTCTTAATCTAACCCTCTATTATCAAAGATTTGTAACCTAGGAAGTTTTACCTTGCTAAACAAAACACAGGCCTACTCTTTGGAATTTGTGAGTTCAATTTTCCATAGAACTTTATAGAATTTAAATAATCCTAGTTAAATGGAATGGAGAAAAGTAAATATACCCTGATTTATCACTCTTAATTGTTTTCTTCAAAGTTGTTGTTACCTATAATGTACTTTATGTGCTTTTGGAAACTTGTTTTTCAATGTGCCTAATTAGTTTGTTGCTTTCTAAAATCTGAAGTTATCCTACAACTTTGAACCAGCGGGATTTATTTCTTTCTATCAGAAAGACTTATCTTCCTGAGTTCACATGTGGCCCCAGGCACTTACAAACTGTGACCGTATGGGGTAATCACTTAACCCTGTTTGCCTCTGTCTTCTCATCTGTAAAGCAAGCTGGAAAAGGAATTGGCAAACCACTCCAGTATCTTTGCCAAGAAAACCCCAAAGGGGGTCACGAAGAGTTGGAGACCACTCAAAAACAACTGAAACAACAAATTGGAAGGTGGGGGAGGGGGTGTTGATCTATTAAAAAAATTTTTAATTTACTTTTTAAAAAATACATATGTTGAATTTAACCAAGTAGCAACAAAACTTTGTGTCTCTTGGGTTTTTTGTTTGCATTTAAATTTTATTTTATTGATGGCCCATTTTTGCTTCTCTATCACTACCCTCTTGTCTTCTTTCCCCCCTTTCTTGTAACAAATATGTATAGTCCAGCAAAACAGAGCAGCACATTTCCTGTTTCTGAGAATGTATATATATGTCAGTCTACACCTCTAATCCAGCACTTTTCTGTAAAGAGGTTGGGTGGGTTATATCCCATTTTCAGTTCTTTTGAAGTCACTACTGTGACTTGCTTTGGTTAGAGTTCTGAGATTTGTTAACTTTCTTCGTATTATTGTCATCATGTAAGTTATTCTCTCAGTTCTGCTTATTTTGGGTCTGAATTAGTTTATGCAAGTCTTACTGTGGTTATCTGAATCTTTTATAACCATCATTTCTTCTATTATATTCCCCAAATGATGGGTACCTGTTTTGTATGTAAAAATGGATGAAGTGAAGGAACAAAAATGAGGATTTGTTTCTAAGCACACTTTTCTCTTGAAAATATATTCATTTAATAACTCATTAAATTTTACTTTCAGTATCCAGGGAAATTTGAATCAGGTGACATAAAAAACTTGAATGTTAGAAATATGGCATTTCATAGAAGTATATTTTTTCTTCAGTAAATGTAAATAGCAACTAAGATTAGAAGTTTATTTTTGTAATAAAAAATAAAATATCCATGCATATGGAGTGATGGATTGTATTAAGGTTATTTTATCAGATCTGGCTGTTTAAGCAATGGGTCTCATGGTGGTTCTTTTGTTCTTAAAAGTCTAGTCTTTTGACTTTTAGTTAGTTCACAACTTCTTGATATATTTTTAGGTGTAGGAATGTAATTGCTACCTTCTATATGTTCATTTTAGTCAAAAATCTCTCTGGGGATATGGTTTGTCTTTTGAGTAAATAAGTTATATCCCCCTCAACCCTTTCCCCCCCATCCCTACTTAGAATGCCATATTTTCCTATGCTTTCTGCTTGAGAATATAAAAACCCTTTCTTCATGATGACTTTTTCACATGATGATATGTATTAGAAAAATTGATCACTTCAAACATATAGATTTTAATTTTTTTTATAATTGTTTTGTTCTGTCCTCTGCCTTAATTTACTATAGAATGTCTTTCAATCTTCCTTGGCCAGACAAAACAAGTACAGAGCGGTAAGCCATGGGTAGAAGAGTCCAACTAAGCCCTGCTTGTCTATAAGCACGATTCACACTGTTTGTAAGCATTAGTTACACTGACATTAACCTGAGATTCCAGGTAGCAGTTTAAGAAAAGCTAAATTTTTCGGTAGCCTCTTTTCATTCTGCTTTTTGATTATTTGTCTAGTGCTGCTCTTTGGGCTGTATTAGCTTGGTGCTTTTCTTTTCTTACTTCATGCATGCTTCTTTGGTTTGATTCTACTTCCTTTTATGCCATCTTCTCTTGAGAACTTAATTTTTCATGAAAAATTTGCATTGAAGACTGAGTACACCAGTGTGATTATACATGCCATCATTTGCTTTGAGATAGTAAAGCATGTTGCTTATAGGAAAGTGAAATAGAGAGAGAGAATTTAAAGTACCAGCTCATAGGAGAAATAATTGATAAGGCATGGTCTCAACCTCTTGAAAGCTTATAATCTAATACAGAATCTTAGAGTTGGAAGAGACCTTCCAGGTCATTTGGTCCAACCTAGTGCCAGTAGAAGAAATAAATAGCATTTAAGAGATCTGGTTTTGCCTATGGCTGATTGGTTTTTTTCTCCTTATTTCCATTATATTATTTACCCTTTTCTAGAAATTTATGGCTTTTTAAATAATAAGGCTTATTATGTGAATGTAAACCAGCTAAAGAGGATTGGCTCTTTTCTGGTAACATACCTTTTGGAAGCTAGTGTTCTGATTTTTTTAAACTTCACATTTAAAGGTGTTATGGCATTGTGCCAATACAAGATAATTCTGAAATGCCTACCTCAATCTTTTCCTAGAGAAATAACTTTTTTTGAGAAATCACTTCTTTTAACAGTATAATTTAATTTTTTTTTATTTCTAAAGGCATTCTTCCCCAACATGCAGTCTTATCCATTTTTCTCTTATTATGAGATGAGTATTTTAGTTAAATTTTATTTAGCTGAGCTTTATTCTTCCCAGATTGTGAACTGATTTATCATTCAAAATATGATCCTCCTTGTCCCAGTTAATTTTTCCATTAAGTTTGGGAGGCCTACCAAACATATTGATGTAGGGAAACTATCTGAAATCTGGGTTTGCGCAAAACATAATTTAGATGAAGTGAAAACAGGAATTGTTTTCTTTCCATCTTTGATGAAATTTTTTAAAAATTCCTTCCCTTCTGATTTCCATTAAGATGTTGGGTTGAAGATTAGGTTTTTTTGATTTTTCTGTGCTATTTTTTTTTACTTTGGCTAAATAAATCCTTTTTGTGGAATTTCAGTAATTATTACTAGTGTTTTTAAGACTCAAAATTAATACAGACACATCTTTAAAATTTACCTGATGTATTTTGTTCTATTTTTTTTTTCTTTGCAAAACATTGTATTTTGACAGTCCAGATCAAGAATTTGCTTTTGGATTGTCAGTGTTACTCATGCTTATTTTCTGGTTGTTACTCATGTAAACATTCTATTGGCTTTTATTTTTTAAATCATAATGGTTTAATCAAAAGAAAATAAATGCTTCCTATTTTAAAAAAAGATATTAAAAGGTCTTAAAATGCCGTAAGATACAGGACTTAAGCCTTGGCTTTTTGCGGTATCATTTTCTTTCCTATAAGAAAACTGACAAAAGATTTATGATTCATTTGGACTGAAAGCCAAGACAGTGTGGTATAGTAGAAAAAGTCCTAGTTTGGAATCAAGGACCTTGGTTCAAATCTTAACTCTATGCTTATTACTAGGGTGACTAAGCAAGTTATTTAATCTCTCAGGCCCTCAGTTTCCTAATCTGAAAAATGAGGGGTTCATACTACGTGATCTCTAAAGTCTCTTCTGGCTCTAAGTCTTATGATTCTATGATTAGATTTTGTCCCTGAAGCTGTTTTGCTGATGTGGGTTCTACCTCTATAAATTTACTAAGTGATCAAAAAAGATTTGATTTAATTTCTAGATCACTTAATTGTCGTAAGTTCCAAGTTTATAAGATATGTTGTTTAACCTGTTTTGTGGTTCACAGGAGTTGTTTTTATCTAGTATTCATAATCTGCTGTGTCGAACCTGATATAAACCTAATATAAAATTTCCTTCAAAAGAAACGAGCATAGCTGTGCAGTGAGAAGTGATCATTTCCCCTCCTCCATGTGTGATTGTACTTAGTCCCCAGGGTGTGGATAAGGCAACTATCACTTCAGCTGTAGCTGATGAGGCCAGTGAGTCTAAAATTGGGTCTGTGCTACTTGGAATGTGATTATAACATACCAAGCTCAGGTTTGGGGGACATCTGGCCCACATTTGGAGCAATATTATACCTACTTCCCATTGGTTTCCTATTCAGCAATAAGTTGTATATGGTCTAAAATAGCCTCTTTGGGGAAAATATAAGGGACTAGAATAGTGGCTTTCTACTTAGAGCCTCATTTAGGTTGCTTGTTAGAGAATTACCCACGCACAATTAAGAAAACTAATTGAAGATCTGAATAATCCAAATTTTTCTATACAAGAACATCTTGCAAATATGATAAAGTGTAAAAATCTAGAGAGCACATTTATAATAAGTGATCCTTCTGATATTTATTCTAAAAACATGATGCAGATTCCTCAAAAGTGTGGACTAATATATAGTCGATGGAGTGTTTTCATTTTACTTTGCGGTCTTATAGAGATAATTGATATCAGCAGGTGTGTACACACACACACACACACACACACACACACACACACACACACACACACACACACACACACACACATACATACATACATATAATTCAAAGGTAACTTCTGTCCTATAGGGTTCATCTAGGTTGTGTACACAGCATTTATTTGTTTCCAAAAAAAATGAGGTTGGAGCTGGGATGTTTTGAGGGAGAACCTTGGTCTTCATGGTATTTTTTTATGTCCATAAAAAAAGTTTTAAGAGGAAAAAAAAGTAAATAAAACCAAGTTTTCCCAGCATGCAGCAATTTTTCTGTTTTAGAAAGGAAAAATGCCCAGTTGGCTTTGTTGTCCTTTGAATCTTTGGTTCCATTATCAGGAACCTGGGATTGCATTTAAGAGGAATGTTTAACTTGTTTAAATTTTATTCTTACAGCTTTGAGAACATTTAGTCTAGCAAATAAATCCTATATTCCACTTTCACTAACATAGTTTGCTTATCTACTTTCAATTTTGACACAGCTTTTCTGAAACTATGGGCTCTTCTTGGTTGCATAAAATTCTTATTTGCTTGCATGTTAAAATGGTGTTTGGGGGAAACTTTGCATGATAGTTATCTTAAACTGTTATTTTCTTTTCCAAATTCCAATAATTATAGACATGTGAGTAGCAGTGACAGAGTGGGCAAGCCCTACCGTGGTGTGAAGCCTGTATTCAGCATTGGGGATGAAGAAGAATATGACACAGGTACATCCATTCATCTGTAGGGTACTTCTTTTTGCTTTGGAATTCTTTTCCTTTTCCCCTCCTACTTCCTGTAGGATAATTTAGATTTCTGTACCTAACTGGTTATGTTGTTCCCTCTTTGAACCAAATCTGATGAGAGTAACATTCAAACAGTGCTCATCTCCCTCCCTTCTTTCCCTCTACTGTATTTGGTTTTTGTGCCTTTTCACGCGATATAAATTATCCTTGTCTGTCTCCTCCTTTCTTCTTCTCCCAGTACAATCCCTTTTTACCACTTAATTAGGTTTTTTATCATCACAGCAAAGTCAACTTAAACCCCCTCTGTCTATGTATATTTCTTCTAAATGTCATAATAAAGATATAGTTCTCAAGAGTTATAAGTATCATCTTCCCATGTAGGGATGTAAACAGTTTGCGCTTATTGAATAACATGGTTTTTTTTTTCCTTTCCTGTTTATGCCTCTCTTGTATTTGAAGGTCAGATTTTCTGTTGAGCTGTGGTATTTCCATCAGGAAAGTTTGGAAGTCCCATATTTCATTGACTGTCCATCTCCTCCCCTGAAAGATTATGCCCAGTTTCACTGGGTAGTTGATCCTTGGTTGTAATCCAAGCTCCTTTGCCTCACAGAATATCGTATTCCACACCCTTAGATCTTTTAATGTAGAAGCTGCAAGGTCCTGCGTAATCCGGACTGTGGTTCCATGATATTGAAATTGTTTCTTTCTGGCTGCTTGCAGTATTTTCTCTTTGACCTGGTAATTTTGGAATTTGCCTACAATATTCCTTGGTGTTTCCAGTTTGGAATCTCTTTCAGGAGGTGATTGGTGGATTCTTTGAATGACTATTTTTACGCTCTAGTTCTAGGACCTCAGGGCAGTTTTCTTGGATGATTTCCTGAAGAATGTTGCCCAGACTCTTTTTTTCATCATGGTTTTCAGATAAACCAATAATTTTTTTTTTTTTGGCTAGGCAGTAGGGTTAAGTGACTTGCCCAGGGTCACACAGGTAGTAAGTGTTATGTGTCTGAGGCCGTATTTGAACTCAGGTCCTCTTGAATCCAGGCCTGGTGCTCTATCCACTATGCCATCTACTTGCAATAATTTTTAAATTGTCTCTCCTGGATCTATTTTCCAGGTCAGCTGTTTTACCAATGACATATTTTACGTTTTCTTGTATTTTTTTATTCTTTTGTTTCTGCTTGACTGGTTCATGCTCTCTCATAAGAGTCATTAGCTTCCACTTGTTCCATTCTGATTTTTAAGGAGTTGTTTTCTTCTATTAGATTTTGTACCTCCTTTTCCATTTGGCTAATTCTTGTTTTTAAGGACTTATTTTCTACAGTTAATTTTTGTTCTTCCTTTTCGAAGGTATTGACTCTTTCTTGCATACTTCTCATTTCTTTTCCCAGTTTTTCTTCTACCTTTCTTATTTGACTTTTAAAATCTTTCTTGAGCTCTTCCAAGAAGGCTTTTTGGACTTGAGACCAGTTCATATTCCCTTTTGAGGTTTCAGATGTGGGTAAATTGACAGTGTTGTCCTCTTCTGAATTTGTGCCTTGATCTTCCCTTCCCTTTTCCCAAAATAAGAATCTATGATCATTTTCCGTTTCTACTTTTTGTTCATTGTGTTTGCCTATTTCCTGACTTAAAAAAAAATGTTGAGAAAAAAAAAATGTTGAGTTCTCCTGCTGGAGTGAAGGGTGCTCTTACCCAAGCTTCTTTTCCTGCTCATCCAGGCCTTGCACTTGAATGTTTGGCTCCTGCTTACCCGGGCTTTGCACAGGGATGTTTCGCTGCTGGTGGATGTGTGTTGGCCTGGAGCTTTGCCTTCTGGAGTCGTGCTTCCCAGAGTTGTGTTTAGACACCCGGTGATTTTGCTGCTAGAGAATTCCATAGCCCATGGTGGTTTTCTGAGCTGGTGTCTGCTGGTTCCCCTACCTGTATTGAGGCTCTCAGGGGTCCTGGTGTTGGCATTTGCCTGCTCCACCAACCTAGGTCTCAGGATCTCCCCCTGGTATGCTGAGGTGCGGTTTGCTGCTGTCTTGCTGGGACGCCTCTGGTCCTGTACTGCTCCCCCTCTCCCAGAGTGAGAGGGGCCTTTCTCGTTAATCCCCCAAGCTCCCTGGGGTACAAGACTGCTGTGCCCTGTCTTTTTGCTGGCTTAGGGTCTTTCCTGGGTCGATATTTTCTGGATTTTCAGACGTCAATGAGGGAGGGTGAGAGCAATTTACTTCTTGCTCCACCATCTTGGAATTCTTTAGATATCATTATCTACACACACTACTGAGTACAAATGATAGCTCTGTACTACATAATATATAGCAAAATTAGGCATAATATGCTTATTATGGGCATAGTATGGTTCAGAGGTTGGGAGCAGCTGGCCCAATGCTTTATTTCTTCTAACCAACAGATGACAGCCAGCATTGATGCCAGTTGATTGCTGCCATATGTATGTGCCCATAGCAATTGTTACTCTAAAGAGCCACAAGGTGGAGGTGTTGCTTCTTAAAATTCTGCCTATTTCTTTTTGTAACTATCCATCTATGACATCCTCTGTCTTAACTCTTTTCAGTTTGTTTCAATTCAGCAAATATTAGAGATCTACCTAGTTAGTCAGTAAACATTTATTAAGTACTTACTAAGTGCCAGGAACTGGGAATTAAAAAAAAAAGAAAAAAGCAAGACTGTCATTACATGTAAATGTATGTACTTTGTGCTGAGCACTCTGGTAGGTATCAAGGGGATAATGAGGTTCAGATAAAATATGGACTTAATTTTCACGGCGCATAGTCTAGTCAGGGGATATGACATATCCACAGATAATTATTAGGGAACCAGAAGTGCATGAAAGAGGTGAAAACAAAGAAAATATGTTTATGTACTGAAGGAGATCAGAAAAGGTTTCCTGAAGGACATAGGATTTGAACTGAACTTTCAGAATGGGTAGAAATAACAGGCATGTGTTTGGCAGGTGTTAGAGATGGGGTGGGAGCAAATGAAATTGTCGTGTAGAGAGAGAAAAGAAGAGGGCTAAGGGCAGAACCCTGGGGAAGACAAGTGTTATGGGATCAGGAAAAAAATCTAGAAACAATGAATGGAGGTCACATAGAGACTCAAAATGAAAAATAAAACTTTACGATTATTAGAGCTCTCCCAGTGTGGAGTGAACTGCCTCAGGAGGGTGATGTATTCTCTGTCACTGGTGCTCATTCATTAGGAATAGTTTAGAGTAGTTCAGGTACAAGTCAGACTACTTGATTTCTGAGGTCCTTTTCAACTGGTATTATGTAATTCTTGAGAGCATCCATAAGTAGGACAGTTTGTTGTGTCAAATGCTTCAGAAAATCAAGGAGAATGAAGACTTAGAAAAGGATGATTGGATTTGTCAGTTAGGTCCTCTGTGTCCTTTGAGAGAGCAGTCTCAGAAGAGTGTTGGCAAGTGAAAATTAGAGTACAAGGAGGTGACGGGGCAAAAAAAGTGTTGAAGATATGGCAGCATTAAATTTAGACTATTTCAAAAATGTCTTATTGCCCTTTTTTTTTTAATATCACTGTCCAATTACTTCTTTCCTTACTGCACCCAGAAGCCCTCCTTTTTGCCAGAAAAACAATTGAGTTCTGATAGTATATGTAACATTCTGGACCCAGTCTACCATTTATCTACCAAGAGGAGTGAAGTATGTTTCATTAGCCCTCACAAATCAGTTGGTCATTCATTCTTCTGAATTCTGATGTCTTTTAATAGCATTTCCATTTCCATCGTCATGGTCTTTATGTATATTATTCTCTTGGTTCTTTCTTTACTCTATATTAGTTCATACAAGTCTTCCCAAATTTCTCTGAATTCTTCATAGTCATCATTTCTTATGGTGCAATAATAATAATACATATCACATTTATATACCACACTTTGTTCAAGGATTCTCCCCCCTTCCTGTCCTGCTCCCCTGCCCTCCCTTCAGTGGCTGCCCACTTTGTTTCTAGTTTTGTGCTGCCATAAAAAGTGCTACTCTGAATATTTTGATATATATGAATTCTTTCTGTCTGTTTATGACTTCTTTGGGACATATGCTCAGTAGCAGTATCATTGATGGGCTGTTTAGTCATTTTTCTTGTATAATTCCAAATTGTTTTCCAGAATTGTGGCATGATCAAAATTTCATGAATAGTGAATTAATGTGCCTTTCTTCTCATCCCCCTCTCTAGTATGAACTACTTACTCACAGACTATTTTTTTTAAAAGAAGCTTCACTTTAAAGGGGAAGAGAAATGTAGGATGGTAGCTAGATGAGATAGAAATAGAAGGGAGAAACATTTTTAGAATTGATGAGACCTGGACATGTTTATGAGTAGATTGGAAAGAGCCAGCAGAGAAGAAAGGGGTCTTGGAGTTTACAGGAAGGAATAAATAAGGTCAAGAGCACAGGCAGGGGGAATTATTTTAGTAAGGTATAGGGATACCTTTCCCTCTGAGGTGGAAGGAAGAAAGAAGATGAATCACAGAAGAGGAATTGAGGGAATTCTCTTATTAGGTGATAGTGTTAGTCTTGATGAGATAGAAAGTTAGGTGATTTTTACCTAGTAGTTTTATTTTTGAATGCATTTTAATGTTATCTTCATAATTTTATAAGTATTTCTCTTTAAAAACTTTAAAATTAAGTTGAGGGTTTTTTTTTAACTTAAGTGATTCTTGAATTTTTTTTTTTTACTTCCCCTAAGTTACTATCTATGGCTTTTGATGGGGGAAAAAAAAACTTTTCCTCTCCTTGCAGTAGAGAAATATACCTGTGATTGGGTAGCCTCAACCATGTCTTTACAATTTTGTTACATATATATCAAGTTGATTTACTTCACATTATTTTTGAAAATTGTATGACAAGTTTACATATGAACTCCTAAAGTCTTTTAGTTTAGAGAAAAGTTTGTTAGCCTTATAAATTTTTTCACTAGATTTTCATCCCAAAATGTCACGTAATTTAGCATTAGTTAACTTAAGAAATATTATAGGGTTATTTTTTAGTCTTGTTTAATGAAAGTATTTTTGATATTTTCTCTTGACTAGTAAGTAGTATGTGACTTTTTAGAAGTTGGTGAGAAGATATTAAAAACATTTTTATAGCACTATTATGGTTTGTGAAACACTTTATTTCCATTAAGTGCATTTGATCCTCAGAATAGCCTGTGAGCTGTGGATTAAAGGTGCTATCATCTCTATTTTACACATGAGTAAACTGAGGCTCAGAGAGATTAAGTGACTTTCCCAGTGTTACACAGCTTCTGAATGGCAGCATGGAATGGAACCCAGTTTTCTCTTGACCAAAAGCTCAGTGCTTTTCCTACTATATCATGTTGCCTTTCTATTTGAGAGGTGATCTCCATTTATATAATAATTTTAATTCTTTATAGATGAAATTGATAGTTCTTCAATGTCAGATGATGATCGAAAAGAGGTTGTGAATATTCAAACCTGGATAAACAAGCCAGATATCAAGCATCATTTTCCTTGCAATGAAGTAAAAGAAAATGGACACATGTTTCCTAGGTACTGGTTGAAGACATTTTCTTGTTCTGAAATAAAATAAAATTTATCAAAGTTAGTATGATGATATGTACTTAAAATTATTGAGTGGGCTAAAAAATATTTAAACCCATGACCATTTTATCATATAAATTCAGTCTGCCCTAATAACTTTTGTCAACTTTTACACTGTCTATTTTTACTGTTTTTAAAAATGAAAAACTCTCACATGTGGTATTTTATAAATGTATCGAAAGTGAATTGAGCCAGGGGGAGTTATTAACCATTGCTCCATGGTCATTTGTGGCGTGGGGAGCTAAATAGATTGCATTCCTTCTAATCATGAAAGAAAACTTGAATAATCTGTGGTCATCTCTGGCTTTGGTACCGTGCCAGAGTATGTTGAATGATAGTTTTCCTTTGATACTGCCATAGTGAGATTCTAGTTCACTGAGTCAAAAATCAAGGTTGATATAAAGTATAATGTAGCAGACAGAAGATAATATCTTTACCTGTAAACTGTGTATGATTTATCAGTTATCGTATCATTTAGCAAATACTGTTACTTTTAGAGCCTAAGTGTTTATGCTGGAGAGGTTTTCAAAATAGGCTGTATTTTTTGTTTGTAGAGTAAATACATTTTTGTTGACATCTTTATGAATAAAGAGTTCCACTTTAGCTATAGCATTAGTAATAATGGACATTATTCTGATATATTTGTATGTTATATTGGGTCTTTTTTGTTGTATCAATTACCAGTAGTAGCTAAACATCAATTTAAAAATTAAGGGGGTAGGAATAAAAAACCCTTCATTATGAAATAGTTTTTGTTCATAAATCATTTTGTGCTATGGTTTTGGCTAATGCAGAACTAATCTCACCCAGATTTAACCATTGTATTAGCAAAAGGGATGTTTGGTAGCGTCTACTTTGATTTATTTGTGAAAACTATTTTTTCTAATACTTGGCTACTTTTTTCTTTCAAGTCATCTTTTGGTTACTGCAACACACATGTACTGTTTAAGGGAAATTCCTTCACGAAAAGGATTGGCTTACATACAGTCTCGGCAAGCACTAAATTCTGTAGTTAAAATCACATCCAAGAAAAAACACCCTGAGCTAATTACCTTCAAGTATGGAAACAGCAGTACTTCAGGAATAGAAATTTTGGCAGTTGAAAGGTAAGAAGACATGATTATCAAGTAAATTATTATATTAAAATGGTACAATAAAGTATTTAAACCATCAGTATATGTGTTCACATCTCTCTGCTTTTCCCTCCTCCCCCAATAACAACTACAACTGACACAAATATGGTCTAGCAACTAATCCATGATACAGAGTTGGACCATGTTCACTTTGGCATGTTCTCTTTGTAGAATTTAGGATTCATTATACTTCTTATGAACCAAAGAACTTTATTTGCTCATTAGATACTTGAGAGCAATGATTAGAATCAGTGTCTGGGGAGTTATACATTTTAAATTGAACAACAGCTTAAAGCAGAGTTGTTTGAACATTTATCAGTTGTTTCACATCTACCTGGGATGTTTTGCAGCTGTAGGCTTGATTGCATTTAATAGTTTATATGTCAGTGAAGACAGGCCTGAGCAACTCCTCAACAGCTTAATGAAAGGTAGTTTTAAAGAATTGAGTTCCAAAAATTTACATGGGTCATCATGTTTATTTTCTTGTTTTTGGTGAGGCAGTTGGAGTTAGTAAGTGTCTGAGGCTGGATGTGAACTCAGGTCCTTCTGACTCCAGGGTGAATGCTTTATCCACTGCACCACCTAGCTGCCCCTACATTGGTCATCTTGGCTTGCAGCTTCTGTCAGTGATTATTTCATGTGTAAATTGTAATATTCAGTCATGCTGTGTGTAGCATCTGATACTTAACTTCCCTTGTATTTCTTATTTAAGAAAAAATGTGTATACTCTATAGTGATAATTGTATTTTTTTACATCCCATCACGACCCTGCTGCTGTCCACTTTTACCTCTAATAGAACCCTACATCTATAGAGTCACCTCTTGGAGCTATGAGAGGCTTGTATCACTCTCAGACTTTTGAAGTCAAGACTGATCACTACATTGATATGAGCTCTGATGTCTTTCAGTGTTGTTGTCTTTTACATTATGTAGTCATTATAGAAATTGTTTTCTAGGTTCTACTTTGCAGCAGTTCATTCAAGTTTTCACTAATTCCTCTGAGCTCTCTGTTTCTTATGGCACAATACTATCCATTACAGGGGTGGGGAACCTGAGGCCTCGAGGCCACATGTGGCCCTCCAGGTCCTCAAGTGTGGCCCTTTGACTGAATCTAAACTGCATAGAACAAATCCCCTTAATAAAAAGATCTGTTCCATAAAACTTGGATTCATTCAAAAGGCCATACCCAAGTACCTAAAAGGCCACATACAGCCGTGAGACTGCAGATTCCCCACCCCTAATCCATGACATTCCTATACCTCAGTTTGTTCAACTATTGCCCAATCAGTGGGTACCCATCTTGCTTCTAGTTTTTTGCCACCACAAAAACTATTTCTTTTAATATTTCTATATGTAGGCCTTCCCCTTTGTCTTTGACCTCCAAAGGATAGATTCTCACAAAAGTGCCTGACGTCAAATGCTTTAAAGTCCTACCTAATTGAAGCACTGTTGTGTGCGCAGTACAAACTTTTCACAGTGCAGCTCACTGCATTGTCTTATTGCAACTAGAACCTGTCGTGAGATTGGGGAAATAAACTGTAACTTGCTAGATTAGCTCACTAGGATTGTCTCAGTCTTATAGTCAGCTGTAAGTCAACTTATAGTCAGACTGTGGGGCTCCTTATCTTTCCTTGGAAAATTCATTTAACCCTTCAATCTTATTAGGTGTGTTATGAAGAATAAGTATTATTATTATTATGAAAGCCTTACATTAACATTTAGTTTTTGTTCTTTTAGGTATTTGATTCCAAATGCAGGGGATGCTACCAAAGCCATAAAACAACAGATCATGAAGGTTCTGGATGCCTTGGAAAGCTAATAGCAAAAGACCAGGAGAGGTGTGAACATGCTTTCCTAACTGAATACTAACTAAGACGTTTTATTTACTCCTGGGAGTGCCTGAGTAGCAGGCTTAAGATAGGGTAAATTATTATAATCAATTTCAGGACTGTTTTTAAATTTTTAAATTTTCTTTTGCATTTTTGGTTTTGTACAAGTCATTTATGATCAAGGTCATTTACTAAGTGGCTTTAGAGTAGCTGACCTTGCACCTTCATGGAGTAAGGATACAAGATGCAGTTCAGTTTTGAGCAATCTATTTTAAGAGAACATCCTGAACTTTTCAGGTAACAATATAGACACCTATAAGAGTGTGTGTGTGTGTGTGTGTGTGTGTGTGTGTGTGTGTGTGTGTGTAATTTCAGTGTCTTCGGTGACCTTGATCACTATTCTTAGAAATTGTTTAGGAAACCTAATGTTCTTACATTTGGTTTTACCCACGAATATTATAAGAGACAAAAAATGTTACTCAGTGTAGTAAACATTTTGCTTACTACTTTTGTTCTTCTTAAAAGGACTGGAATTCAACCAATTCTGTGGATATGGAGATTCCAGCTGATTGAATAATGCTACACTACTGTGAAGTGCAAAAACATGTTTTCTAAATCACACCACTTACCTATGCACAATTGGGGGAAATAATTTGAACACTTACGAATGAGTGCTTCAAAAATACTAAACCTGGTACTAATAGTTACCACAGGATAGCTAAGACTAAATTCTAGTCTTAATGAGGAAAATGGAGAATGGGTAAAAGCATTATGATAAGTGGATAAGTGTGTTAAATTTGAAATTCAAATTGAAAAGGACAAAACTGGAGCAGTGAAAATGGTCTCCATCACAAGTGAATTACATGGTTTTGTCTATTTCAAAACCTGTGTTTGAGTGTGCATTGTTTTACACTCATTTGAGGTTGTATTCTGTGATGAGACTAAATAAAAGCTACGAATCAGAGTGCTACAGAGCTGCAATGCCTTATCATCATGTCCTTGCTTCTTAATGTTATTTTTACTTTGGTACTTTGTTTTTCAAAGTTCAACATTTTTGAAAAAAATTTTTCTTTCCCTTTGATGTGGTGAAACATAACGTGATCTGCTTTGTTTTGCTGCTTTCTTAGTTGATCTTTTTCGATCCATTTTGAACACATTTGGTGGGGAGCCCTAGAATGTGTTTGGGGCCATGGGATGACTTTCTGGAATCCTTTTTTTCATAAGGAGTGTAGCAGATCCATAGACTCGTTCAGGTCACAGAATATAAAACTAATGCTTTGAGGGATGAGAAAAGAATCTAACAATCAACTACTTTAAGTTATTTTAATGGGAATCAAGTGGTTATGAGGCACCTTAATTCAGGAAATAATTTGCTTTACTATCTAAAACCAACTGAATTGAACTGTTGAAGACATTTGCATGAAATTGCACCTGGGGCACACTTGGTATTTATAATCCTGCCCTATGACTGTTGTATTACATTTCCCTTTTCCTGGTTACCTTACAGAACTTTCCCAAAGTCTTTGACTTTTGCCTAATTCAGCCATGGGATTTTTTCCATAATATTAATGTAAAAATGTTTGTGTTACTGTTTTTAAATTACAACTGTAAATAAACCAGTACAATTTGCTCATAACTTCTTCTTCCAAAAGACATGACATTTTTTTTCCTATTAAGTTTTTGTAGTTGCTGTATGATGGATTAATTTAAACTCCTGAACTTTCTCTAGTAGAATGAGTTTTTGGGTTATAGGTACTGGAAAATTACCGTTTTTTCTTCACATAGAAAAATATAACATTTACCAGTTTAGTTACAGCTATTAACATAAATTCTAGACCTCCAAAATTTAACTTGTACAGGAGTACCAACTTTAATCCAGAAACACCCCCAAACCATGCACCCTGAGGAGCCACAAGGTGTGTAGCAGGTGTTGTTGGTGGTAGTCACATCAGTGAATAGCATGCCTAAGTTCGTTCTGCATGTCATAAGATAATAGATTTCAAATTGGAAAGGATGACCTGAAATGCCATTAAGTCTTACCCATTACTACATTTTACTAAAGAGTAAAATAGACAAGAAGGTTTAAATAACTTGCCCATAGTTACAGAGCTAATAAGTATTTAAGGTGGGACTTGAACCCAGGTCTTCCTGACTTCCCAGTCCAGTGCCCTATTGACCACACCAAATTACTCTTGTGTTGGGTTGCTACATAGAGAACAAACTTGTTTGGGGGGTGGGGGGAGTAGGGAAGTATTTTTGATTCTCCATAGTAATGCAAACCAGGATTACAGATAAGGAGAAAATCCAGTCTGCTTTTTAATTATTAAGCAAGAATAGATATTTAGTAGGTTTGGAATATTTGAAAGGATATGCTGAAATATCTAAAGTGTCTGTTAAGTTTTTTTTTTTCAATTAGCAAGCATTTATTTTCTCTTTCCCACTTTGCCTCCCACTGGAAAAAAACAAAAACAAAACTCTTGTAACAAATATGCATAGGTTTTACAAACATTTCATTCATAGTACTTTTACTGAGTCAAACTATGTAATTGAAAACTGACCTTCATCTTTTAAGAATGGTATTGGGGGGCAGCTAGGTGGTGAAGTGGATAGAGCACTGACCCTGGATTCAGGAGGATCGGAGTTAAATCTGGCCTCAGACACATAGTGTTTACTAGCTGTGTGACCCTGGACACTTAAGCCCATTGCCTAGCCCTCCCCCCAAAAAAAGAATGGTATTGGGTTCGTTCTTAAATTTATTTTTCTTATCATTAAGAAAAAACAAAATTCATTGAAAAAGACAAAAAACAAACCCCAGATATGCATAGTCAGTCAAAATAAATTTCCACATTGGCCATGTCTCACCTTGTGTCCATCATCTATCTCTCTGTGCAGAGCGGTAGGATGTTTCATCAGTCTTCTGAAATCATGGTTGGTCATTACACTGATCAGAGTTCTTAAGTCTTTTTTTTGTTTAGTTTTTTTTGCTAGGCAATAAGGTTAAGTGACTTGCCCAGGGTCACACAGCTAGTACGTGTTATGTGTCTGAGGCTGGATTTGAACTCAGGTCCTCCTGACTCCAGGGCCGGTGCTCTATCCACTGCCACACCTAGCTGCCCCAGTTCTTTCATAGTTGTTTGTCTTAATTTGTCTTAATTTTTTTTGTTATTGAATAAATTGGTCTGGTTCTGTTAACTGTTAACTTCTTTCTTCATCGGTTTATGTAAGTCTTCCTAGATTTCTTTGAGACAGTGCTTTTGCCGTTTCTTACAACATAATTCTATTAAATTCATCTGCTATAATGTATTCAGCCATTCCTCGGTTTGGACAACCTCCCTTCATTTTCAGTTCTTTGCCGCTACAAAATAGCTATTATAAATATTTTTGTACATATGGTTTTTCGAATACACATGCACGCACACACACTGATTTGTAGCAATATTCCTTTATGCAAATTATTAGTGTGTGTTTATGTGTACATATGTGCACATATGTAATGGTGTGTATTTACATGTGTAATATATACACACACTAACAATTTGTATAAAGAGATGCTTTTACTACCCGTCATTTTTTTTTTAAAAAGCATGTGTTTTGAGTTGTTTTCTCCATGCTGATAAAGATGGGTTTGCATTGATGAATACATTTTCTCTTGCCAGGTGCCCCATTTAACTAGTGGCATATGTTCCATAGGTTTCCAGAAATCTGGGTGTTAGTAGGATTCTTTTAGTAGGGTTACATCTGGGTTTAGTAGGGTTACAGTTTGGTATAACAGAACAATAGACCATTTCAAAGAAATTTTGACTTATTAACAGAGCTATCTACTCAGTTAAGCTAAAAAAAACCAAACCCTAGTTTAGTATCATTGGCTGAGGGAAAACTCACCAAGTACTTATGCCAGTTATTCTAATTAGTTCCTAACTTCTAACCCTGGAAGATAAAATGCTAGTTGTATAGCGTGATAAAGAAACTGGGAGATCTTTTGAATAAAATTCTACTTGAATTGAAAGAAATTATTCATTCTAGTTATTACTGGAAAAAAATTTGGGTTAAAGAAATTATTAATATCAAATGTCATGTTGATAGAAATTGTTAGCAGCTATTTTTCAAATTCAGTTTAAAAGATACATTAAGGAAGAAACTATACATTTCTATTTGAGTTTTCTATCATCACCTAGGCTTAGCATGCTTTAGACTGAACTCCCCCCAAATCAGACTCTCCAGTGCCTCCCCCAAGGTAGGTATTTAATAAATGTTTGATTGTTTTCCCCTTTACCACCTTGTTTAATGTTACTATCATTCTCTCAGGTTCTCAAGTTTCAGATATTGACATCTTCTCCTGAATAGTTCCTCATTCTTGGTCTACCAAAACTGATTACCAAGTGCTGTTGATTTTTTTCTTCCTAACTCCCTCTTCCTTAATCCCTTTCCCCTTAGTCTTGGACTACTGCAATAATCTCTTGACTTGTTTTTACTAGTTTTTAATGTTGCCCACTTCAGTCCACCAAAACTAGTGAGGGATATGAACTAAAATGATGTTTTAATCCTTTTTTATTCTTAAAAAAATCTTAACTCAGCCTAGTATTCAAGGCCCTCCAAAATCTAGCCTTAATATTCCTTTCCAACCTTCCTTATTTCTAGAGTTTTTCTATGTGAACTCTTCTTCAGTTAAGGTAGGTAAATCCAGTTTCCTGGTTTTAATTTAGTTAAACATGTAAGTGCCTGCGCTGTGCAGTGCATTGTGGGAGATTGCATTCTAGGGGACAGAGGGGAGGATACATGTACCCATGTGTGAAGCTGTCATCTCCATTTGAGAGCTGAGGAAATTCAAGCACGAGGGGTAATTAATTACTAAGTAACCGAGCTGAAACTAGAATACAGACATTCTGACTCCTAGCCTAGTGCACTTGTGGAATTTTACTTTTGCAAGATGAAATCAACTGGGAAACACACTTCTTTAGCACCTCCCCCCCCCCCCTTGTAGTGCCTGCTTCCCTTT